GAGAAGAAAACTAAACAACAATATCACTCTTGTTAGAAATATAACAAATAACAAAAATTCATAGGTTTAAAAATTAAACAAAAAATTAAAGAAAAGAATTGTTTTTTTGAATGAGAAGTTCATAGGGCTCTGATAAAAGGCAGTTCCGCTCAGGGCTGCTCCCTGTGTTGGGTGCGCATGTGGCCCTTGAGGTTGCCGCTCCGCGTGAATGCCGACCCGCAGGTGGTGCAGCTGAACGGCTTCTCCCCGGTGTGGGTGCGCATGTGGTCCTTGAGGATGTTGCTCCTGTTGAATGCAGCCCCGCACGTGGCGCAGCTGAACGGCCTCTCCCCGGTGTGGGTGTGCATATGCCGCTGGAGGCTGCCTTTCAAATTGAATGCAGCCCCGCAGGTGGCGCAGCTGAAGAGCTTCTCCATGGTGTGGACTATGCGCATGTGCCGCTGGAGGTTGGTCTGATCATTGAATGCAGTCCCGCAGGTGGTGCAGGTGAACGGCTTCTCTCCGGTGTGAATGCGCATGTGTCTCTCCAGCTTGGAGCTATCCCCGAAGGCAGCCCCGCACACGCCACAGCTATGCTTGCCCTGGGTGCGCCGCTGGTCTTCCCCCGAGCCCGCAGCCGCCGCGCCGGTACTGGCGCCCGCAGCCCCAGGAGCCTCAGCCCCAGGAGCACCGCAAGCCCGGCGGCGGTTGATCTCTGCCTGGCAGCGACCCGATCGTCGGTGCTGCGCCAGCAGCAGAGGACTTACGAAACAAATGCCGCATTGCTGCTCGCAGGGGAAGGTTCCAGCTAAGGGGCGAGGCGCAGAGGTGTTAGAAGTGTGCCAGCTAGAACATGGCTAGAATGTGTGGCGCGGAGAGCGGGACTACAAAGCAGTACTCACTGAAGGCGCGCGCGTCGCTGGCCGGCTCCCTGTAGTCCTTGGGGTCGATGCCCAGCTCCTTGCCGTACGAGTCCCCGTACCACACGAGCAGCTCGGTGTTCGCCGGGATGTCGCACACCGTGCGGTAGTACAGCTTGCCGTGGTACTGGTACGGGTGCAGGTTCTCTTCTCCCTTGTTGCGAGCACAGTTGACAAAGCGCATCCAGTTGGAGTGCGCCGGGTCCAGAGCGTCCACGCAGTGCACTGTCTTCCCCTCACGGCGGATCTGTCAGAGGGGCACATGTGCAAAGGTGAGTGGTGGAGGACATGGGACGGACGAGGACCCTGGAGCTCCTGGAGGGTGGCGTCCCCACCCCACCTCGGGACTCAGACTCACCTCCCAGCCGTACCCCGTCTCCTTCTTCTTGGTGATGTCACCCTCATATGGACCGAAGCGTACCCGCCTAGAGATGGCTTGCTTGGCCCAGACGCCTTGGCCCGCCCCCTGGATCTTGCTGTCGTGCACCGCCAGGCAGCTCGGCAGCGAGCGAAGTGCCCGCTCCGGGTCGTTGACGGCGACCTGGAGCAGCAGCGGGAGGAAAGGAGGAGAGATCGTAAGAAATGCTGCCGAGATACTAGGGAAAAGACACTCCGAACCACCACAGTCTGAAATGTGTATAGTCACCTCTGAATCCGGGATGACCTGGAGAGGTCCGTGCTCAGGGCAATCTCCCTCCCACTCTCTGCCGCAGTCGTCGCAAACTGCGCAAGGGGGAAAATGTGCTAATGATTGTGTCTGAAGGAGCTAAAGAAGCGCAAACATCGCGTCAACACTGCAAAACTCACACAAAAAATCGTCCTCGTCCAGGACTGGAGCCTCCGCGTACACTTTACCCCGACTGGCAGCCCTCAGAGAATAGCGAGGGGCGGCGGGCGCACATTGAGAGGTGGAGCAGGATGGTCCAGGCTCCGACTCTGCGAACACAGTAGAAACACGAGGTAACTTCGGCGGTCCAGTGAGAAAACAGTTGTCATCACTAGCTGTAGGCGACCATCACCCATCACCACTGACGCCGGACAAGGCTCACCACCCTGAGGCTCGAGATGCCCGCGTCCCAATTCCTTACCTTGTCCACGACCAGCGCCAACCGGTGCCGCGCAGGTCGCCGCCAATGCTGCGGTTGCTGCACTCTGGTCCCCCGGGGCCGAAGACGCGGTGCTTGTGCTTGCAGTTGGGGCGATGTTTTCTTTCCCGCGCCCGCGGGCACTGCTATTCGTCGCTGACCTACAACAAGCCAGAATCAAAACGGGGGTCAAGTCTAACGTCTAGAACAGTTTTAGTCTCTTATCCAGCCTTTGAAGTTAGAAGAATAGCGGGAAGAACGTGAGGGCTCCTTTTTAGCCGAGCCTTAACCTAACCAACAGCACGCAACACGACCGGCCGCCGGCCGAGAGATATTGGCGGGAAACGCTCGGGAAACAGTCCGTGCACTGTGCAGAATGTTAGGCCTATCCTACCCACCTCGATGCTTTCGGTGCAACGAACTTCTTGGCGCGAGAAGGACGAGCTGTACACGTTCCTGTCTGGTTTTCCTTTCGAGGGGACCATTCTAAATCTTTCTCGTCGAAGTCTTCGTCCTCCTCGACTGATTTAACCCGCTTCGCTGCTGGCTTCTTCACAACTTTAAAATTCCTCTGCATCCAATGGGGTACTTTGGGAGTTAGTCCTAGAAAAGAAGCGAAATGTTGTTAAGTAGGGCCTCAAAGAAATGTATGGGGCCTATCAACATCCCCAAAATCCCAAAAATTGTGAAAGGTTAGATTGTTCATTGGTCTGCGTAGGCTTCGAAACACTCACCCGCCTGTTGCATGGCACTGAAGTTCCTCTTTGCGTTCCTGTAGCTGCCCTTTTCGTAGGACGACATTTCTCTCCATTCGCTTGCTGGGAAGAATTCTTGGATGTCGTCATATTCACTTTCATCTGAACTAGAGCTGCTCTCCATCTTAGATCAAATTATGTTGAACGACACTTGCACCTTGCACTCCGTGCGTCTCACGTTAACGATAACCGCGAACCACCCTCTGGGGGTGCGTTCCAGAATATGCAAATTTGAACGGTCAAAAAATATGACCTCACGTGCGTAACTTCTCATTTCAATTCAAAACTTCACAGTTTTTCTGTATAATATTAGATTGATAAACGAGCATTTTTCTTTCCCTCAGTTGTAAGAGTAATTGTTAGAAATCTATCATTTGGAGTCTGCCAGAGTCTGCGCCACAACGTGAGGAGGAAACAAGGTCCGGCGGTCATGCTTTCTTACCGCTTCCGGTTTCGTTCCAGTGGAATACCCTGTTGTCTGTCGATTTAACATTTTTCGTTCTGTTTTTCCCGTGATGAAAAACGCCATAAAACAGAATTCGCGGTCAGATCAAAACTCGTGAGGTTAGTGTCGCGATCACGCTGCGCGGAGTGGACTCGGTGAGCACCTCAAGACTTTAGTTTGTCCCGCGAAGACGATCAGATAGAAGAACATGAAGAACGGAACAAGAAATGAGAAGTTTCTGCATAAACCAATCAGACAACAGCCGGCACGCATCATAACCGACTTAAGCTGCGTTCCACGGTATACGGTATGTAGTCATAAGTCTGCGGTGAGGAAGATCCTGGACAATGTGTGTGTACAAACAGGAGCGGGTGCGTGTGTCGGTATGTGGAGTCCGGCCGGCCGGTCGGGTTCCATGAGTCCCATGGCGCCGAGGATCCGGGACAATGTAATGTAGCCATGAGCGGGTGCGTGTTTAGAGGTATGGTGTTGTCCAGACGGACGGTCCCCATGGCAACGCCCCGTGGATCAAAGGTATGTGTGTGTGTGTTTGTGCTCCAGCAAGCAGAGCAGGACTTCGATAAAACTTTGATGTTGATTACGCCCCCCCCCCCCCTTTCCTCTTTTCCTCCGGCCACGTCATGAGGCAGCCGGGACCAACATGATTCCATCCAGTTCACCGACCCGAAATTTTTGTCTGTCACCCGGAGAGCAAAGCGGAGCGGGGCGGGGCGGGGCGGAGCGGGCCCAGCAGTATGGAGATGGATCAAGGCCGGGCACGGGCGTGTGAGAAATGAAATGAAATGCCTCGCCCCGCCTCGAGTGTACGCAGTACGCGAGCCGCCCGGTCGTTACTTATATTTATATTTCAATCCACCCACGCGGCCAAGTTGCGCAAGGCAAATCTATTTCCCGTCAATAAAATGACAATTTTATAGCCACCGAGCGGAATTTTTGTTTCTATTCTTGTAGAGAGAGAGACCTTTGCGCTCGGAACCTTGACTCGCTAGGCCTTTGGTCGCCTGCTCTGGCCGACAGGCGCGAGGAGCGGAGCCCTCTGCTTGACCTCCTCCTCATCGAACATCTTATCGAGTGGTAGCCGGGCTAAGGCTGCCTGCCTGCCTGCCTGGCTGCCCGCCATGTATTCGGCGGATGTCTCCAACGCCACGTGCGCCGGGCGCGACGCGCCTCCTCCTGCTCTCTCAGTTTTTCGCAGCTCGTTTTCAGGCAAGGCCGCATTAAATCGGGTGACCTGACTTGTGAGGAGGATGCTCCGCGCTCCGCTCCGACTGGTTTGCAAACCTATCCCCCCGTGTCGCACCACCAGGCCTACCTGCCTCAACGCCATGCGGAAGTGGTTCCAGTACGTGCAGGTGCTGCTCAACTTCGACAGTTCGCTGTAAGGCGTCCACGTCCACGCTCCCACACGGCCACAGCCGCAGCGACGCAGTCAGCCAAAAGAAAACAAAAACACGAAACGGAAACGTTTTTTTCCAGTACCCTATGTTCACATTATTACTATACTATTGTTTGCATTACAAAATAAATTGACGCCATGTAGTACCTGAACACGGTGCAGAGCACCAGGCGCCGCGTTCATTTCGCCGTCATTAATCTCTTGGCCTGGGTACATAATTACACCAGCGTTACACTATTTATTTTTGCCGGATGTCAGACGATCGTGTCATTAAGAGCGGCAGAACAACAAACAGTGCGACAGAGGACGGACAGGACGACGGCCATGGCGAGCGCGGAGGAGAGCTAGCCGGGCAACGTGAATACGCTCATGGCCTGCGCCAGGAGCTGGGGGTGGAGCGTTCGGTTGCTCGTACTGCTGACCGACCAGTGGCGCTCTGCTGGCGTCCGGCGCGAGGACGGTAAAGGACAAACCTGACCTGGAACCCTGGACCACTGGACAAACCCGCGGTGGCTCTACTTTTCCAAATGTCAGGCAAGGGGTGCTCTATTTTGGTCTCACACTTCAGTTAACTGTGTAGCCATACTTGACGCCATGCAGGCGTGCGTGCGGTTTGCCTACTCGCACGGGGCTACAAAGCACCGTGGAGGCATTAGTCTGCAAACCCACGCGCACGCCTAACTATGAAATGTTCAGCAGGGGTCTGTGAGCTGAGCCAGGGCCACCCTTGCAGATGGTCGTGAAAAAGTACCCCTCCCTTGAAACTGACGTAGTTTGCGTACGACCCCAAGGGTGTTTGTATAGTATGGACGAGGTGGACGTGATACCGCAGGGGAGACCGGCCAAGAGAGGTTCGTCGCACCTGGTGACCCGCCTGCTCAGCCTGGACCTTTGCAAGGACCGGCCGTCCGCCATCAGCAACATGTCGTCGGCCCTGCGACACATGTCCGACGGATCGGTCAGCGTCGACGTTGACATGGTGATCACCAAGACCGCACAGTCCTTCAGCAAGGTACTAATGCTATCCCTATCACCAAAAGGTGTTTTTTTCTTGTGAAACCATAATTGTAAGTCTGACGGGGCGATGACTTTCGTCACCCCCCTTAGTTTGACATGACCCTGATAAAGTGCCGGGAAGCCGTGACCTCCAACTCGTGCGAGTACTACCAGACGTGGACCTACGACCTGGGGGTGTGCCAGGTGATGGGCGCCTCGGGCATGCCGTGGAGCGCCAGCATGAAGAAGATGCACCCGCCGTTCAAGTGCCCCTTCCTCAAGGTAACCGCCTCCTCACAGCAATGTCAAACAATCTCCTAGCCGCATCGCTTCTAATCAATACAGCTAAATATTTTCTCACCGGGATGTTGTCTTTGGCAGGGAGACTACCAAACGCGCTACGCCACCGCCGACCTGGAGGCCCTGCTGCACATTCCCATCCAGTGGGAGGGCAATGTTTGGCGGTGCAAAATCGCGGTCTACAACGAGCTCAAGGCGCTCCACCTGTGCTGGATCGCGGACCTGGAGTTCCCCCGTGTCAAGAACCATCAGCGCAATATATAAGGGATCATCCTCAAAGTACTTTCGACTTTCGTGGATCAGAGCGCCTGATAGGTAGGCAAGATATGGCCTGCTGTGCTCGTGTGTACCGCGGGCTGGCCTACCCCGAGTTCCGCAGTGTTGCAGTGTTTTAGTATTGATTTCCTCGGGTGGTTGATCAATGAATAGGTAGTTGAGTTATTAGGTTGGAACTGGTATATCTATTCCGTATGATACAATAGAGGAGCACCTCGACACTCCACCGTGGCTCCGAGATACTGACTTGCCGAAGGGCTCTCCGTCCCCTAGGGCCTACCCCTACCAGTCCCGCCAGTCCAGGCTTGGACATAGCGTAGTAACTAGAACTAGGACTAGGACGCGTAACTAGCTCCCGTAAAGCGCAAAGCGCTGAACGAAGCTGAGAAAGACGGGCGTACTTTTTGAACTATCCCTAACAACGAGTTACTCCAGTCAGATTTCGACTCTGTTAGCTGGAGCCCATGAGCAGCTGCAGGTACTGGTACCAGCGGTGCAGCGCACTGAATGCGGCGCGCTTGTTGAGGGGGCCAAAGCCGCGCAGGCTGAAGCCGGAGGGAAGTCCCTGCAACACAATCGGGTTGAAAGAGGAAAACAAGCCGCGAATAAGTGTCAGTGCGTCAGTCTCAGCCTGCGGGGCCCGCACCTGGAAGCCGTGGGCTCTGGTGACCATCATGAGGCGCAGCTTGCTGGCGGCCAGGGGTTCGCCGAGCACGTCAGCGCCGGAGAGGACCTCCAGGGCGAAGCGCTCCGACCGTAACTGCCAGCAGAAAAATGAAGTTGAGGTCAAATCCTTGTTTGAAGTTAGAGGAGGGTGGGAAGGAGAGAGGGAAGGGGGGCGAGCCCCGTGATCCGGTCCGGTCGCCAACAAGTATTTGTACCTCGAGGCCGTCGGCGAGCAGGGACAGCGTCCCGAACACGAGTGGCAGGGTGCTGAACGTGAGCAGAGAGAACCAGGTGGCCGGCCAGCACGTGCAGCATGGGCTGGAAGGTCATGTCCTTGAGCTCGGCCTGCAGGGCCAGCAGCTGGTTGTGCAGGCAGGCCGCGGCGAGCACCTGGGCGTAGCCGTGCGCCCGCTCCATGCGGAGCACCAGCACATTGTACATGCCGTTGAGCGCGAGCAGCACGGTGGCGAGCAGCACCCACAGCGCGAAGTAGCTCAGGGCGTGGAACGTCCACTTGACCGTCTCGTTGACGTGCACGAGGAAGTGCGGCCGCTGCTCGCCGACGGTGGGTGCGGGCGGGCCGGCCACCACCTGCTGCACCACGATCATGGACATGCCCGTCGTCATGTAGACGGTGAAGGCGCGGCGCACGAAGCGCACCAGCCAGGCGCAGCGGGCCGTCGCCTCGACCACGTCTTGCTTGGCGGCCTCGATGGCCTCGGCGAGCAGCCGCACGTGGTTCATGAGGGTGGCGATGCTGGCGGTGCGGCGCGCCAGGAGGAAGCCCGCCGTGCCGGCCGAGTACTGCGGCAGGAGGCCGACGAGCGTGGCCAGGAAGTCCGGCACCGAGCGGCTCAGGCAGACCCGCACCACGGCCAGGGCGAGCCACACCGGCGCCAGCAGCACCAGCTGCACGAACAACCAACACAAACTGTCACCTCACCGACAAGCGCGTGCCAATTTTTTTCTCGAAAATTTATTATTGGACAAAATCTACACCCTAGGGTATAGGTAGTTCTAGGGTACCTTTCGCCAGATCCACAGGGCCGCCCTTGCGCGGAACGTGGCTCCGTTGAGGGAGCGCTCCCACACGAGTACCTCTCGGCTCAGCAGCATGGCGATGTGGGGCCGAAGGGTTGAGGACGGACACTCGTCGCCGCATCGCCACGGCATCGCCACATGTCGACCCGATCATGAAAAATGACGACGCCAACGGGCCTCGCGGTTTAAATATCCTCTTGAAAAAATAATAACAAGGGTACACACATGTGACGACGCGGGATCTTTTGTTTGCGGACCCTAAAAAATGGACGTTGGCGGATCGAAACGGTCGAGAGCTCAAGTCGTGGCCTTAGGCCACGGACCTCTCAGAAAGAGGAAAGGAGGCATCAAATGTGAACAAAAGGCTATATTTCTTAAACACCGATTTGCACATGAGACATGAGGGTCTATTTCTAACTCATTACAACTACTCTGAAACTATGGATGTCCTTTGACATGCCGGCACTATGGACTGTTTAAAAAATTAATTAATCACAATAATGATAAGGAAAATTTTACATATAAACTGTAATAAGATTTAATACTAATTACTTTTTTTTGTGTTTTAACACAGTGTGGCATATGTAATCCCCACTGGAGTCGAATGTTTCATTGCATGTTACACAATGATGCTTTTTCCTCTCTGGTGCAACTATAGGCTTGGTAACGCCTGCACTATGCTTCAGAGCATTGTGGCATATTAAGCCACCTTTAGATGGGAAGTTTTCATTGCATATTTTGCAGTGATGACTGGGACCTTTCTTAGGCTGGTGAACCTCCATGTGTTCTCTCAATGCTCTTGTTCCTTTGAACAAGGTGAGGCATATAACACATTTCCGCTCCTTATCATCATCCTTTTCTTTTGGTCCTTTGCAACTCTTCACATGATCGTCATAAGAAACCCAATGTTTATAAACCATTTTGCAGTGAGGGCATTGGCGTTTAAGAGCCTCCTCTTTCTCCTGCTTGGCCGATTGAAGCTGGAATGAAAATTAATGGTAAACTCAATCAGAAGAGGAAACTATCATGTGTGGACGTGGACATAAAAAAAAAAAAAAACTTACTAGCAGAGACAGGTCAGTCTTCTTGATAATTTTCTTCTTGCTTGTCTCTTGCTTGTCTTCATCAGAAGATGAAGATGATGCGGATTCACTAGGAGATCTTGATCGAGCCCTACTACTTTTGAACTCTGGGTCATCCGGGTCATCAGGAACATGAAAATCTCCATCATCCTCACTGCTGTCGACAATCCTGCGACGAATGCTTGTGCCTGTGCTGCTCCTTGTAAGGCTGAAATAAAATTTGAACACCATTAGGTTAAAACTTGTCAACAGAAGAAAAGAGTTAGTCTGGAAGCTTAAAAGCACTTACCGTTTTCCCTCTCTTTCTGGAGTTTTGGGTGACTGGGTTTTGGGTGACTCACAATCGCCACTTCTCCGACTTCGGCCTCTTTTGCTCAAGCTGCCACGGACAGATCCTCCTCTGCGCTTGCGGCCTCTACCTCCACGAGAGGACACGCTACGTCTTTTGTTGACAGAAACGGAAGATGAAGAGTCATCTTCAGAAGATTTTGGATCTGATTTCTCTCCAGAGGAACTTTTACCATTTAACTTCTCAGAAGATTTCTCCTCGTCAGATGAACTTCCCTCATTATTATTTGACTTACAAGAATTCTCTTTATCAGAGGACTTATCAGACTTATCAGACGACTTATCAGAGGACTGTTCAGAGGACTTTTCAGAGGACTTTTCAGAGGACTTTTCAGATAACTTTTCAGAGTTCTTTGCAGAATTTTCCTCTTCAGATACATTTTTATCATTCATGTCTTCAGAGTTCTTGCTATCTTCACTTGAGTCTCTTTCAGTCATATCATTCATTACACCATCAACCAATTCATCTAGATTCTCTTCTTTAAATGTTCTGACAATTGGACTTACTGGAGTTAAGTCAACTTCTTTCTTTATATTAATCTTAACTTCTTTTACTTCCTTTTCTTTTTTTATGTTTAAGTTATTAAAAAGATTTGACTGAGTGATCGATTGATTGATTGAAGTCGGAAGGAAAGAGGCAAGATCCGAAAGTAGAATTGGATTACCAATAGGAATTAAAAGAAACGGATCCACTGGTTGAGGTAGCTTGGATTCAGAATTCTCTGCCTCAACTGGTTCAGTTTTAATCTTTACATATGGTGGCACAGTGACCTAGAAAGCAAAATTAATGTAAAAGAAGATGTACTGTTTACTATAAAATTCTTAGTCCAACAAAGTTTACTTTTACCTCCTTATTAGACTCAATGTTTCGGCACTTGGTTTTAAATTCAAAAAATTCAGTCACTTTAATTTTGCATAATGAACACAGCGTTTTTTTAGCATCTGAGGCAGAAACCTGAAACATAATAACACCAGGTAAAGATTAAACAAAACAATATTATTATTTGAAGTACAAGTGAGGAAATGATGTTACTCTACTCACAGTTATACTCAGAGTGAAACTGATTTTTTCTGGCAGCTGCTCAAAATCTTCTTCATCAAAAATTTTAATGTTGTCACTCCTGCCGTGGCAAAGCCTACACAACTCCTGTTTGCTCATGTCAGAATCTGCAACAAAATGTCAGACCTGAAGGCATGGAAAGGTAGAGGCATGAGAGGCTAGGTCCCGAAAAAACTAAACATACGGTGGTGAATACAGGTTAAGCCGGGAAAACGAGTAAATGATAAGGCTCTCAAACCTTAATCCTCGTAGTCAAATGACCAGTACACATGAGAAACGCAGAGGTTAAACGAAAGGAGGGCTTGCCTTGCAACCTGCACCGGTACAGTAAGATCGAATCGGGCGCGAGCGCGAAAGCACATTGTGATCGAAAACCGGATCCGATCGTTTCTCTTCTCATACGCCGCCATGTTCGGGATACATTTCTTTCTTTCTTCTTCTTTTTTCCGTTAGCTCAATTCGTCTATCGGGCAGCTATATTTGACTAGATGCCCGACCCTTGCACGCCCACCAAGACCGGTCGGAGTGAGGCCTCGGAGAGGCTACACTAGCGAAAGATAAAATCTTGTATGATTGCTTCGTTAGTTTGTGCCGCCAGCGGCTACTAATTTACCGTTTTTTTTTTCTTTCTGTCTCCTTAGGTTGGGTTGGTTTTAATAGGTAGCAAAAGATGACAATGCATGGGATGGGTTTGTGCTGTTTAAATTATTAATATTTATTATTATGACATCGCACTGCGCTGTCCTTGTTTTTCCCGTGCGCGCGAGGGAGAGAGAGCGACCGGGAAGTGGAGGGGGTAGGCTGCTCCAGCGCTGGGCGGCTGCCGCGCGGCGGCGCAGGAGCCTCTGCACAGGTTCAGTTCCAGGCTCATAGAACCTGAACGGTTTAACGTATCGCAAATCCGAAAACAGCAACAGGGGGCTAAAGGATGAGCGCATACCGTTTGTTTAGGCCATTTTATGAATCCCCAAACTTCCCATTGAGATATGACGTGATATGTTTCAAAACATCTTTGTAAAATTCGAACTCTGCATTTAGATCAAATTTGTTACTAGAAGGAAGCGTTTGAGTGGTTTATAAGCCGATAGACATTTGTTTCGCGTCCTTTTCTTCACGTTTTGACACCCTTCCCATTAAAATCGCACAGATAGATTCGGAGCTACAGCGAGTACCCCAAACCTCTGCATTTAGGCCCTTTGTTCAATTTCTGAGTTGTCCGGGCGGGGGATTCTTGGGGATTTTAGTTTACGTGAATCAGCACATCGAACTGCATCGAATGAGCCCATTTCCAGCTTTACAAAATTTTGTTCTAGGTTGAAACCCTCATGTCCTGGGCTAGGGGGCGTGCGGGAAGGGGAGGGTACTGGCCCTCGGGGAGGGGAGGAGAAACTAAAAACCATAGCGATCTGCGCTGCGCTGCGACCGCTGCGAGTCATTCGTCATTCGTCAGTCATCAGAGCAGCCCCAACCCCCTCCTCCCAGCAAGTATGGACGCACCCGTGAACTTCAGTGGTGTACCGGCGCTGTGCTTGAAGAAGGAGCATTTAAGACATGCTACAGACGACAGCCAGAGGGACAGAACAGGAAGGGTAAGTATAACCGATTTTGCTACCGGTAGCAAAATCGCTCGGACAGCTTTTGGAAATATCTTTTGATTTGATAAGTCCTGCCCAATATAGTTTGTGATGAAAGGGAGGAGACCCCTAGCGAACTTATATTTTACGTTGTACAGTGCATATGTTTTACCTTTGCCGTTCTATCCGCTCTGTGCACTCTAAGAGACAACACCAAATTTCGGACCCGGGGGTTTTGAGGGTCACCAAATTCAATGGCATTGTCAATTTGCACCTCCCGGGTCATCCTGGGGTCGTCGTCGGGGACCTCATGAGGTCCGTTTGCACCTCAAGGGTCACCCGTGGAGGGCGCGGGCAACGCGCGAGACGGGGTCCGCGCGCTATCCTGCTGACCAGCCCGGACGTGCTCGCGTCCACGCCCCCCCCCCCCCCCCCCCCCCCCGGGGCGGGTCTCCTTCGGGGGGGGCCCCCCCCCCCCCCCCCCCCCCCCCCCCCCCACGGGGTGCTTTTGCGCCTAGAGAGGTCCGCGCGCCTCCCTGCTCCGCTGACCAGCCCGGACGTCGACGGCGTGCTCGCGTCCCCGGCCTGCGCTGGCCTGGACTGGCCGGGCACGGCGTGGCATGCGGGCACCATGAGGTCTTTTTCGCGGCCATCTCTGCTGCTCGCGTCTCGCGTCCTGCTCGGCTCGGCCCCTCCGCGCCGTCCCGCCCCGCCAGTACTCATTTCATTACGGATCGAATACCTCGAATACCTCGCAGAGAGCTCGCCTTTGCCTAGCCTTTGCTAGGAACTACACCAAAACCGCGGCCGTACAGCGCCACACGGGTTGTCTCATCCGACAGGGCTCGCGGATGGCGCTCCGCTGGCGCGCGGTGCCCGGCGGGGCGCCGGTCTCGTCTAAGAGCGCTGCGTGGCGCCGCGCGTTGCTTGTGTCCCGGATGTCGCGCTAGCCGGCCGGCGCACAGTGTGGCAGGCCGGCGACGCCGGCACCGCTCGGTGCGTGTCCGGGAGGCCCTCGCGGTTCTGGGAACCCTGGCGCCGGGTCTGCAGTCCCACCCGATATAAAACTCTGCCCCCCGTCACATCCTCCCCCGCGTTCGGCCCCTCCGCGCCGCGGCCTCTGCGCCCCCAGCGCCGCGCTCAGCAGCCGCGCCTAGGCCCGCGTGTCTGGTCTTGAAGGCGTGGTGTCGTCGAGGACCGAGGACCCAGCCTCCGTGCCTGCGCACCCAGCCATCGCTAACACACACCGGCCCCGGCGACTCGCTCACGCGTCCAAGCGCAGCGCGAAAAGACCAAGACCACCCCGCCGCGCGTCGAGGCGTCCATGTGTCAGGGTCGGACTGGCCAGGGGTGCCAGGACGCGCTAGCATCCTGGGCCCCGAGCCCCGCGCGAGGGGTGCCCTTTGGCTTGACTTGCTTGCCTTAGGTCTCGACCCTGCATGTCCTGCTGCTCCTGCTGCCTCGGCCGCCGCCGCGGGTCGCGGGCGCGAGCGCGAGCGCGGGCGGCCATCTCTGCTGCTCGAACACCTCGGATGTCGCGCCAGCCGGCCGGCTCCGCCCCGTTACGCCCCGTCACATCCACCCCCCGCTTTCAGCCCCTCCGCGCCCCGCCGCGCCTCGACGGGCCTGCAAATCCTTTGACAGGCAACCGATTGCTCACCTGTGTTGTAGGTGTCTGCGACCTGAGCAACACGATCCCGTTACGCGCCGTCCTGTGCCTCGACGACTGACGTAGCCCAGCTTTTCGAACGCTATCTGCCATGTTGCTGGGTATCGCGCAGCTCCCGAGCCGGTGCACGGCGCGCGCGCGCGAGGAGGGGGGTGACCCTGGAGGTGCAAACGGACAGCGGCATTCGATTCAGCGACCCCGATGACCGAGTGATCGAGATTCCAGTAGGGGCGTCATCGGCGACCTCATGAGGACCCCGACACAGAGCGGATAGAACGACAACAGCGGCAAATTCCACAGTTTTCTAGCTATTGGGCCCTGAGTCACAAATTGAGTTATAATCTACAGCAGTTTTTTCCCTTTTTAAGAATCAGTTTCAATTTAAGTTGTCCTGTTGCTCCTGTGACAACCCTAAGGTTACCAGACAGTTTGAGAAAGTCTGTCTTATGCTTGAAGCTTTTTAGTCGATTAATTAGGCTTGACTAGGAATAATCTGAATTTTTTAATTTCTTAAGAAACTGTATAATGTTAAGGGGATTATTATTCACTAGTTACTACTGTCATTATTAATATTGTTGTTATTATTGCAGCAAATACACCAGCTTTTAAAGTATGGTCTCGATTCCCAAAATGTTCCAATGGTGCATGTAAACGTCAAACGAGGAAAGAAGAAATTTGAATTGATTATTAATGGAATGCAGTTGATCAATGGTTGGGCACAGCTCAACCTACAAGGACGACGTGCAGCAATTAACAATTTACTTAGAGTAAGTTGACTAATTTCTTACATGGAAACTTTTGTTCTCCTAGTACAAAATTAATTATTTGTTTTTGTTTTTGCTTTTCAGGAACATGTGGGACAATTCCATTTGACCATTTCGAACGCTATGTTGTTGCGGTCGAACAATATAAAAATTTTTGGGAGGACCCAAGTATGCACCCAGTGCATGGGAGCAATGTATTATGGTTCAGATTCCGATTCTGATTAAAATTGCCCTTTTTTTATATTATTATTATTATTATTATTTTTATTTTATTTGCTGTTATTGGTACATATGTATAGTACATAGCATCGTCAATTAATTACAATAGAAAGTCATCCAGTTGATAATACTCTTGCTCTATGAGCCATTGCTTCAGTTTATTTTTAAAATTATTAAAAGTTGGTGCCTCTCCTATTTCTTTGGGCAATTTATTGTATATTTGTATACAGGCATACTCTGGAGATCTCTCACTTCCTTTTTCAACATGTAGCATTTTTTTATTACGCGTATCATGGTCATGCACTTTTTTGTTAGTCTTTCCCAGACAATATTTTCGCGCTAGAATTGCCGATTGTAAGATATATAAGGAGGACAGTGTGAGCAGACCTAGTCTTTTAAATACACCTCTACAAGAGCGTCTTTTAACACTTTTGTATGCCAAAAGTCTTATTGCTTTTTTTTGTTTTCTAAACAATCCCAGACATAGCTGTTTATTAATTCTCTCATCCCCCCACACTGCCGTTCCATAAGTTAAAAAGGAGTAAAAGTGTGCAAAGTATACCTGCATACACTGCCTGAAATTCATACTTTGAACTACCTGCGAGATTGTGAAAATACCTTTATCTAATTTGCTGTTGAGCTTTATAATATGGGCTGTCCAACTCAGCTTACTTTCTATTTCCATTCCTAGGAAAGTAGTTTGATTAACTTGTTCAATTTTTGTGTTTTTTAAAACCAAGTTGATACTTTTGGTTTTATTAAATGTCATAACAGTTTGTGTTCTATCGGCAAGATATGATTTTATAAGTTGATGAGGTGTATCTGGTGTATCTGGTGTATCTGTAAATAAATAAATATTTATATAGTTCTCAGCATTTTTGAACTGTTGAGCTTTGGCTTTACCTAGTTAAAATTTCCTAAACACCAACGTTTAGAACCTGAACCGGATTTGTTGGGGCGGTACTAAATGTGTATCGGATGGAACACGCATAGAGGAAAAATATCACAGGACTTGACTTTTTAAATGGTATAGTGGAATCTCAAATTTGACGGGACTCTAAACTCCATTTGAACAGAGATGACTTTTAAATATACATTATTCAAACAAAATAATTTCAATTTCAATCACTAGGGTGCATCTTAGAATAATATATATCCATGATTTACATAACATCTCTTTATAGAATAGAAAATAGAGACAAATTCTTTCAAAAATAAAAAAAAAATGGAAATTTATGTAACTTTTGACTTTGGCCTGCGAGAGCTCAGGCTTAAGAAGGCATAATATACGCGTAAGAAAGCAAACACACTGGTAACACCACTTGTAAAAGTTGTGTTTGAAAAGTCAACTCAAGTCATCAGTCATCCCGCTAACTTCACACTTCACTTGGAGCTTGGTGAGCTTCGGGAGAACCCCTCCAGGCCCAAGTCCAGTAGCCCGTCTAGAACTAGAACTAGTGAAAGTTGGAAACTTTTGGCTGAGCTTCGGCCCTTCGGGCATATTTTCTAGTGATAGTTTAAATTTATTGCCAAATCAGCTTATAGTCACCATTATGCTGGATTTATAATCAATCACCAGTGTATAAGTGATTTTATAAAAATGTTGACGATTCGGATGATCTAAGAACAGTCAATCGGCAAATATAAAATATACCTATTTATTTTTAATAAATTTCCAAACTATCATTATACTCTTATCGTTCAAAGCTCTTGTCTGGTTTTTAATGAATGAAAGCTTCAATAAAATTAAAATCCAAGGGGACTGCCGCTCCCAGGACCCCCGCTTAATTTTAATAGATTAATTTCCAAACTATGATCATTCTTATTGTTGAAAGCTCTTGTCTAGTTTTCAATAAATGAAAGCTTCAATAAAAATTAAAATGCCAGGGGGCTGCCGCCCCCTGGACCCCCGCTTACTTTTAAAAAATTCCTCTAGTATTGTCATAGACATTTCATAGTTCAAGACTCATACCTAATTTTGTGATAAATAAAAGCGGCCTCAACAATATTAAAATGCCAGGGGGCTGCCGCCCCCTGGACCCCCGCTTAGTTTTATTAAATTTCTAAGGTATTATCATTGCCATCTCATAGTGCAAAGCTGCTCGTCACTAGTTTTTGAAAAATGAATGGTTCAACAATACTGAAATGCCAGGGGGCTGCCGCCTCCTGGACCCCCGCTTTTATTCCTTGCTTTGACAATTCTACATGTGATAACCATTGATATTGGATACTTAATTTACTAAATAAATAAAGAAAGCGAAGTCTGTACAGGTGCAGAATGCATACGATAAAACCAAAACAACCTAATCGAAAAAAAAAAACACCGATTGACAACAGATTCGTATTGCAATGTTCAAGAAAAATGCGACCAAGTTTGGGGAGAAAAAAGGTTCGGCAACACAAAACTTAAAAAAAAAATCTCTGGATCAAATAAAAAATAACCGCAATACCGATTTTCGCCACTAAATTTACACAACCAATTTTAAGAAATAGTAAAAAAAATTACTTGCATAACATTAAAATTAACGATACTGATATTATCATGCATTATTAAGTGCTAAATTTTTTGTGACCGCATGTTCGCTGAAGTGGGAGGGATCTCAGCAAATTTTTGGCGAGCCGATCGCAGTCTAATAGAATAGAATTCAATTTAGTTTAATTTAATTTAATTTGCTCAGCCGATAGTTTAATTTGCTCAGCCGACAAGATGCCTATCGACTACGACGAAAGGCTCCGTATCCATGTAAGTACAGGCGAGGCGTAGTGGTGAAAAACAACAAAGCAACATAACCTACACGAACTGCTTTAAAAAGCGTTTATAGGTCCTAATAGGACCAACCTGGTGTTTCTGTGATAGCTGCACAAAGGTTAAATCTAAGTCAAATAATGCTTTTCAGACGTAAGGTTGACTTTCAGTTTAGTGCTTTCTGCTTTGTTGTGTTTCCACGCCTTTTATGACCTTTTGGGTTCCCTCAAGTTTCATCAATAGGACATGAAAAGTTGTGGGGCCTAACCAAAGTTTTGTTTGCATTTTTATGTAGAGTGCAGTAGAGAGCAAACTGCGGACCTTCCTCGCTGGGACTAGTTTTGAAGCATGCCAGTTGAAATGGATGGATTGTGAGCGGAAGTTCACATACTTTGTCCAGGTGCCGCAGGAGGCAGCGTTGAAGGACTTTAGTAAAGTTCTGCACAGCAGATCTTTTAATTTATGTGGGAAGAAGTACAAAGTTAGTGTGCCTGAAGATGATTGGGTGGGGGTCCATCAACTTGATGATGGTACATACGAATACTTGAAGCACTTTGTTGCAACTATTGTATAAGGTTGAAAAGATTAAACAAACTCAAAAAGACACCATTGAGTATCTCTTAGTATGTTAATTTATTTTAATACTTTGTATTTAAGCAAATGTTGTATTTGTATGTAAAAGGGGAATGTAAAAAATCCGGGAATGAAAAGTGTGTGTATATTAGTTTTCAAGTTAGTTTTCATAGCTCTGTTGGGCTGTCTATTCTTTTACAACATCTGCCCATGAAATGTTCATAATATCAGCTTGTTCAACAATAATAATTTTCATTTGGTGGAGTTAATATTTGGGATCGGTAATTGCTTTGCATTTCTGGTTGGAGTTTTTGTACACTCCTATTTTAACTATCCTGGTATTGATGGTCTTATCCATTTGATGCTTTGCTAAAATAAGTGCCAGGTTGGTTTGAGTTAATGCATCAAGGGGCATAATTCCTGTAGCTTGTTAGATTAATTTTGTTGGATACATCTGGTCTCCTCTATAGTTCTTAGTTTATTGACCAAGTGTCGACTGGCATTTGAGAGCGAATATATGTGAAATAGAGGCTCTTGAGGAGTAGGTATCTGATAACTTGCTTAAGCTTTAGTAATTTGCTTTTATTAGTCACATCCCGTCTGATTGTTGCTTTGTCTAGGCTCTTCTGGTTTCATAATTAATTGTGAACAAATTCTCAGTGCTGTCCTCGATTTTTTTTTATTTTTTTTATTATTTGGAAAACAATGTCCATAGAGCGATGCCCTGTTTTGGACTATAACATGAAGATATTTCTGTGACATGATGGATACAAGAAAGTGTGATTTTAGAAGTTAATACAAAGTTTATAAATATAAGATATGAGAGTTTAAACAGTAGTAGTATTTTAGTTTGCAAAGTAGTACTGAACATAGAATTCTTTTGCTTTTGCTTTAAATAGGCCATCGGCCATTTGGCCATAGCTTTATCTTTGCTGTACTTGTGAACATTGCTTGTAACTCCATATACATCTCTGATATCAAATGCAGCGTAAATAAACAGATGCACTGTATTTTTTTCAACATTACTATATTTTTGTTACCTTGCTACATTGTATGTATACATGAAACTAAGAGGGAGATATTTCACTCACCAAAAAGTAATTGTCAACAACAGGTCATTCACAACAGGTCTTTAATTTATCAATATTTCTCACAAGACTCAAACAAATTATAGTTACAAATGATATGACTGGCTTAGAACTAGTACAACAATAATCATTTGCATTAGTACATAGATGTTTCTTTCCTGTCAAGGTTTGAGTGAATGGCAAAAAGACAATTACAGCTGAGATGGGTCGATTCCTCCACACCTGTTCTGCAATAATACACTTACTTTGTTGATAAATAAAACAGAAGAGAATAATTTATTCAGTTGCTTTCCCTCAGAACCTTTGCCTGTTGAGATACCTAAATTTGAAGTCATGGAGTGCAAGTTAATTACAAAGTAGAAAGCACTATCTTGATAGATTTATACATTAAATCAAGAAGAAATGAAAATTCCCTTAATTTATATCAGAAAAAGTACTTCTGGTGTTGCTTTAATCTATAAATCCTTTCAAGTTGAGCTGTCCACTTCTTAATTATTCTTAATGTAGCACCTCTAACAGTGTACAAATGACTCGCAATTCTTGACTTATTCAAGCAGTGTGACTTTGAATATCATTACCAGACTTTAATCAAACAAAACTTTTTATACATTAGTTTTTAAAAGAATACCAGGGAATAAAGTATAATGGAATACCGTTAATGTTAAATTGCAGATTTAGCGCGGCCGGGCCCCGTAGGTCTCGGCAGGGCATCACGTCCCGGCCCCGCTTCTCCTGGGCGGACGCATGTCCCGGCCCGACCCTGTTCGTGTGGGCATTTATCACATGAGTAACTCTATAGAGTAACTCCATATCAAATCGAAGTGCCATTCTGGCGAATGTCAGGGATTTCGGCTGGCGTCTCACAGGTGAAAGGCCTATGCATATGAGGATCCCACCAAAATTTTGAGCCCTGTAGCTCAAACGGTTTGGGAGATATAAAATATCAAAGTTTTGGCCCTTTTAAGCTCGATAAACAGAGCTTAAATATAAAGTAGAATTAATACTAGCTTAGTTTTATAGATAGGTCAAATCTGACTTCACCAATCGAAAGAGCATCAAAAAGCAATTCAAATGCACCTATAAAACTTTTTTGAAAGTTTTACCCAAGTCTATAAAGACAGATATCGACAATTTTTTTTCAAATACCGTAAACTTCCTAGCAAAAATTGAGGTCTTCGGATTGACTTCAAACTTGGATTATAGATTCTTCTAAAGGTCCTTCACATTCTGGAATTTTTTGGGAGGGTCATATGAAATATTTTTTTTTATTATTTTACATAGGTTTTAGTGAAGTAAAGTAATAAAAAAAATATTTCATATGACCCTCCCAAAAAATTCCAGAATGTGAAGGACCTTTAGAAGAATCTATAATCCAAGTTTGAAGTCAATCCGAAGAC